TAAACAGGGTAGGTTTTGCTCCATGTGCTGTGCTGTGATGTAAATATATTTCTTACTGGGTGTTCAGAGAAAACTAAACAAGTGTGAAACCTCTGCTCTGGGGAGACATGTAGAGAAAGGGCATCCCTTGCTGCCAAGCACTTGCAGCTGAAACAGGACCTCCTTCTGGTCCAGGTGGCCTCCGGCTGGGGAGCCCCAGGACCCGGTGAGTCAGTGGCTCTGAGCATCTGGAACATCGGTTTTCTCCGGGACCAACTGCATGATAATTTCTTTCCTCTCCAGTCTGGGGAGCAGTCCACCCAGGGGTGGGGCGGAGCCCATGTTATTTATTTTTAAAATATATTTTTATTGATGTCAGAGAGGAAGGGAGAGGGAGAGAGAGATAGAAACATCAATGATGAGAGAGAATCATTGGTCGGCTGCCTCCTGCATCCCCGGGCATGTGCCCCGACCGGGAATCGAACCATGACCTCCTGGTTCAATGGTTGATGCTCACCCCTGAGGCACGCCAGCTGGGCCAGGTTACTTTTATTGTCCCCATTTCATAGGTGCAGGTAGAGGCTCAGTGACTTGCCCAAGATGGCGCTGCTTTGGAAGCAAGACTTCAGCAGGTCTCCCTTCTCATTTCAGTCCTACTGTTTTCAGAATCCAAGGCAATATATTCTGGGAAATGTGGAAGGGATAAAGGAATGAATGAATGAATGAACGAACGAACAAATGATGTTGCAGAAGCTGGGCTAAAGCTCTCTCCTTGATTCTATAGCAACAGTTCTCAGCCAGGGGTGAGAAACACCCCACCTCCAACACACTCTCCTCACTTTGGGCGTGGCCCCTGGACTGTGGGTTGGGTCTAACAAGAAGGCCAAGGGGCCAAAGGGCTGAGCAACAAAACCATCCCTGCCAGTCTGTCCCTGTCTTGTTCCCCAGCTTTTTGCCTCTGAGACAATTCCCCTTCGACCCTCCTGGGCAGTAGATGTGAATGGTACTCACCCAGCTCTGGGGGCCTGAGGGAGGTGAGGGCAAGGCTCCTTAGGGTCAGCTCTTTTCTGCCCCTACTTTTACCTTCGATGCCAGTGTAGTTGCTCCTGTAGAGGTAAGTCAGGCACCTCTGAGCCCACAGAAGGACTGAGGGTCCCTTGGCCAAGGGGCATCCAGCCACTGAGGCGCCTGCCAGAGCAGGGCCAAGAAGCGGGGCAGTGCCAGGCCTCAGCTCCTCCCGGTAGAGGGCGTGCCTGGAGAAGGTGCAGGCCGAGTCCATCCACCTGGCCGCCAGGAGCTCCACGGGTTGTCCTGCAGCGCCTGGCCACCAGGAATGGTCAGAAGCAGCATGAAGAGGAGCTGCTGAGAGCCCGTGCGCAGTGAGGCCACTGCCCAATAGCCTTCCGGAGCCACTACAAGTGCCTCTGGGCACCTCACCCCAACTTAGCCCTGACGCCGTCAGTAGCAGCAAATCCACCAGAGCTGCAAAGCAGGGCGTTTGCCCAGAGAGCCAGCCCCCACCCTCGGGTCTCCATGCCTTACTTATGCCCTTTCCTCCTGTGACTGGGCGCCCCCCAGGTGTGAGAGGCCAGGTGCCAGCGCCGTCCTGTCCTGGGGAGCCCTCATGTGGATCAGGCCCAGTGCTTGCTGCGTGGGCTCCCTGGCCTCTAACCGCAGACACAGCCCATGTCTGGGCAATGCTCAGAGGCTCCTGAGGAAATGTCCCCTCCGGACACAGCAGACCAGACCGGTGACCCAGGCCAGACCAGTTACCAGGCCAGATGTGGGAGTGAGGCTGGGCTGAACCCAGAAAGAAAGCTCTCAGCTGCTGAGCTCTCTCCCAGGGCCAGCAGGACGCCCACAGCAGCTGTGACTACCGCTCCCAGCCGGCTACATGAGGCCAGCAAGCCCACGCAAGCTGGTTTCTTCAGCCACATTCCCAGGAATATCCTGGATTCCGACGCGCCAGGCCTGGGCCCCTGCACAGGTAGCCTCGGTTTCCTCCTCTGTAAGATGAGCAGAGAGGCCTCCCCTGCTGTTTCAGCCAGGAAGGGGTGAGAACAGGCGCCCACAGCAGGGGCTGAGGCCTGCCACCCACACACTCCCTCCTTTGAAGGACCCCAGCTGAGGAAGTCGATTTGCCATTTTATTGTAGGACACAGACAAGGACATTGCCCCTGATACGGCAAGCAGAAGGGCTGTGGGTAATTGCACAGAGAGGTCAAGAGCTTGGCCTACGACTGACCATCAGGGCAGGGGTCCAGGGCTAGCCGGATGTGGGTGGGTGTGGTGGTGGAGGCCGTTCACAGGAGGTCTGCACAGTCACCGGCTGGAACGGGCCATCTGTCACAGCTCACTACCCTGCACCGCTCCTCAAGGCACGCCTGAGTCAATGACTCAAAAACCACCGAGAAAGAGGAGTGAGAGAAATCAATTCCAATTTGTGAGGGCCTCTGGGTGTGATAAAGCCAACCCCTGTCATCTCTGCTGGCTTCCTGCTCTCCCTTTCCTGAGAAGTGGAAACACCATTCAATTAAGGTAATTAAATTCACCCAAAGAGCTTGGGCTCAAAAACCACACCACAGGCAAGTGGTCAAACCAGCAGCAGAGCAAACCCCAGTGGCTTCCTGTGCAGGCCACGGGGAGACTGAACCACCTCCTTCAGCGCTTGAGAGCGTCCCTCCCGCTCTGCACCCGCCATCAGGGCCTCCCCACACGCCCTCCCCACAGGAGGGCCCTGGGCTTACCGGCCTAAGCGTCAGAGAAGAACTGAGCTGAGAAGATGTTGGGACGTGAATAGATATAAAGGCCCTCCTTGCCTCCACGACGCACCCTCACCTATCCTCAATCCTCCCTTGAACTCCGGCCCGCGAGCCCAAGACACACCCCTGTGCATCTGAGCCGTGGGTGGTCAGGGTTGCACCCTGAACAAGGTGCAGGGTGGTCAGGTGAATCCCAGCCCAGTTCTCTCCTTTGATGCTGTGTAACACTGAGCCGTAGTCCATACTGCTCAGTGCTTTGACTTATCCACCTAGAAAATGGTGACAATAAGGCCTGGTCACCCCCCTCGTGAAGGTCATGGGAACTAAACAAGAGAATGGGTGCTGAGGTGCGGGGTGCCCTGCAAACAAGTCGTCCCAGGGGGCACTCACTGTATTGCCCGCCCCCACTGGGATCCACCTTGGGTCCTAAAAGTTGGTGAGGACCCCAGGCTGTCAGATAAAACAGGACCTTCAGCAAAATTTGAATTTCAGATGGACAATGAATGCCTGTTTTTAGTTTGTGTAGGATGATTAATTCTATAGATAACTCTGATGAAAACTATAGTCAAATGTTGCATGGGACGCATACGAAAAAAGTGTTCGTGGACACGGAACATTCTCTTCCTCTCTCTGAGGCTCCACCATGTCATCTCGGAAATGAAGCGGACAGTGCAATTCCCAAGGATGACTATGGGGCTGGAGCTGGGGCCTCCGGAGTCACCCCCAGGACTGGTTCGTGGGCCTGTCACACGTCCTCAGTCACGGGGCTGGGCTGAGGCGCCATATGTGGAGAGCTGGGTCAGGGCTCCTAGGGGGTGACATGGACAAGTCCCCTCTCCTGGCCACTTCCTGTCCTCACAGCTGCGGCAGACCAGCAGGGGTGGGCTGTGGGGCCGGTGGCCTGGGCTGCCGAGGGCCAGGAGCCCCATGGGCAACACGGAGAACTTGGGCAGCAGAGCTCCTGCCTCCGTCTGCGCACTGCGCACTTGCAGCAAGCCTGTCCCCACATGCCGGGGCCCGGGGAGGGCACTCAGCAAGGGCAGCTGAAACACTGACCAGTGATCTCCACGCACCAGCATCCTGTCCGTCAAGGACCAACATGGAAGGGACCTCACTCCCAGGAGCTCAAAGCCTTGTTGGAAAGACAGTCACAGCAGACACCGGGGAATAAAGCAACACAAGTGATTTGAAAAGATAATTCTACTGGGAATAGGAGGACTGAGGAGGCCGTGGTCAGCACCTGGTGACCGGGCAACAGAGAGAGACAGAGGGACTACCTTCTCAAGGAGCCTGCGGGACCACCAGGGCCTGTAGCTCCCTCACCCAGTGCACACAGGCTGGAAGGAGGGGGTGGGGCGACCTCCAGCTCCCTCACCACAAGCTCTTTGAGGGCCATGCAGAGGCATTTGTAAGGGACCAGAGAGAGGAAGCATTGTTTCTGCAAAGTGCAGTCTATTCCAGCCCATGATAGTTCCACAGCATCGGCAACATGACTCGGGGAAAAGCATCACGTGAGAAGACATTTGGAAGAGTTAGAATTTAGTAGTGACCATGCAAAGGATATTTCATTGCTTGTCACGAGAAACCGTTGATTCAGGGGGCTGCTCGCTCAGATCTGGCTTGTTTGACACATCCTGATTCAAACAGACGGCCCTGGCAATGAGGAGGAGGCCATGAGGAAGGCCTTGTGGAAGCCCTGACAGTCTGCCTTTAGGATGCGTGCGGTGGATTCATTTTAATTAGTTTACACTTCATTCTCCGCACTCTTAAAACTCTCCTGGGCAGCTTTTTGGTTCTTTTAGCTGTCAAAATAGATAGTCAAGCCTCCTGCCAACAATAAATCGAACACTGTGCTGCTGCGTGACGAGTGGATTAAAGTTCGGCGGCTCTGATTTCCTCCACTGCAAAGCCTGCGTCATTAATTCACATGGGAGAGAAAGGGCCTGTGGTCCGGTCCGACTAGCAGAGCAATGCACAGCCGGGCCAATCATATTAGAAGTCCCAGGGGCTTACAACAGGCTCCTGGAGATTTTTGGACCACAGACAAGTGGATGAATATTGGAAGGAATATAAGTTGGTCTCATTGGTTTTCACCGAAAATAACTATGCTTGGAATTTTGTTGAGTTCAAGTGCAGATTTTTTTAAAAAATGAAGGCCAAGTGCATGGCTGCTGTTTAAAGATATCTTTTGCACTGAACATGTGCTTGACCCTTTGGTCACATGGGTTCCACTGAAATTATGTTTCCTCTTTTTTCTAGATGGGCAGTGAGGACAGCAAACATAAGCATGAGAAGAAGTTTTAAAACTACGGATCCCAAAACCCAGCAAGGCAGCACCGGCAGTCCTCACTGCTGTGACAGGTATGGAACTGATGGAACCGCCAGCTCAAGAGCCAGCACCTAGAAGCACCTTTAGTTGTTAGGGGGGCCGGGGGGGCGGGGGGCGGGTGGTGAGGCCAACCATGGGACTAAACCCAGGTGAGTCAGATCGGGACTGAAGAAATGATCTGAGTGAAGTTCCCAATGGGGGTGGGTCTCCTCCTGCCTGAAGCAGAGGAATGGGTCATTTTCTCAGTCCTCTAATCAGTGAGCTTCCCTCATTCCTACGACTCAAACCCAAGGGCAGCTAGGGTTTGTGGCCACACACAGCAGAAACAGACACTGGACAAATTCAGCAGAACAGGTGACTACTGAACGGATATGGGAGCCCTTATAGACTCAAGGTGAAGGTTCGGTTCCAGGCAGGGGAAGGGCAAACAGGGTTCTGACGCTGCACAGGACGCCCGAACACATTCCCATCCTGCAGCTCCAGGACAATGCACAGTGGGCTAAGCTGGTCTCACCCTGCACGGGCCCAGCGAGGTCTCAGCAGGCGCCTTGACGCTCAGCCCCACCAAGACTGAACACGTAGAGGGAGGGACTTCTGACACGTGCTACAGCATGGATGAGCCTTGAGGACACTATGCTGAGGGAAATAAGCCAGTCACAAAAGCACAAATACTGTATGATTTCACTATATGAGGTACCTAGAGTAACCACGTTCATAGAGGCAGAGCGTGGCTGCAGGGGCTGGTGGGAAGGGAGAATAGGGAGTTGTTGTTTAATGGGTACAGAGTTTAGTTTTGCAAGATAAAAAAGTTCTAAAGATGGATGGTGGTAATGTTTGCACAACAATATGAATGTGCTTAACACTACTGAACTATACACTTAAAAATTGTTAAGATGGCAAATTTTATGTTATAGATATTTCACCACGATTTTAAAATAAAGAAAAGCTGTGGCTAGTATAGTTCAATTGGCAGATCAAAAGGTGACAGGTTCAATTTCCAGTCAGGGCATATACCCGGGTTGTGGTTTTGATCCCCAGTTGGGGCAGGGGTGGAAGGCAATGGCAATGGATCTCTCTCTCTCTCTCTCTCTCTCTCTCTCTCTCTCTCTCTCTCTCTCCTTCCTCTCTCTAACATTAAAAAAAAGAAGGAGAGAATGTAATGAAGGGACAGAATTAGGGAGATCCAAAATGTGGAGTCGCTTAATCAGAGTGAAGCCACCCTCTACAGCCCCAGCGGGGAGGGCAGCAGGCTCCCCTCACTGGCACCTCCATTGGCCACACCAAGGGCAAGGCAGAGAGTGAGGGAGCCAGATGTCAGCTCTGGAGGACTGGGCCCTCTTGGGCGGCTGTGGGACAAGGTCAAGCAGCGAAAAGACAGCTTACTGGCCCCTAAGCTCCATCTTACCTCTAATGATGGAATAGGCAACAAAGAAGTGAATTTAATTTTAGGTTGTGCTCCGTACAACCAAGGAAATAAGCCAGCCACTGTGCGAGACAGTGAGAAGGGATACCCCGTGGATTGCCAGAGAAGATACCTCTGCAAAAGTGACCCACCTGGACGCCCAGCGCGACATTAGTCCCGGCTCCAGGGGACCAGACCGACAGGATGTGCACACCCAGTCATGCGCTGCCTAGCGACGGGGTTATGTTCTGAGAAACGTGCCATTAGGCAACTTCGTCATCGTGCGAACATCACAGACAGCACTTATCTGAACCTAGATGGCACACGCTGGGCTGCACGGCATAGTCTCTCGCTCCTGGCCTACAGCCTGTTCAGCATGTTACTGTACAAAACACGAGGTTAAATCAAGCGCAGGAGAAAGCGACGCGCTCGGTAAACACGAGATGCTCGAGGCTGCCGCTGGTGTGGACCGCATCCTTTTTTCAGCAAGCCTGTTCTTATTAGTGGAAAGAGTACACGCTAAAACAATGATAAAAAGTACAGCATAGCAAATACAAAGACCGGTAACATAGTCGTTTATTGTCTCATCCAGTATCCGTGCTGAGCATAACTGTACGTGCTGCACTTTTACACGCTGGCAGCACGACAGGTGTGTTTGCACAGCATCTCCACACGCACGTGAGTAATGCGTTGTGCTGAGCACTGTGATGGCCCCTCGGTCAGTAAGTGGTGGGAATTTCTCAGCTCCATTATAACCTGTGGGACCAGTGTCATATATGCAATCAGTCATTGGCCAAAGCGTCATCAGAGAGATTTATTTTAAGGAACTGGCTTGTGCCATTGTGGGGGCTGGCCAGCCCGACATCCGCAGCCAGCAGGCTGGTACCCACAGAGGTGATGCTGCAACCGCCATCCAAGGACTGGAGGTAGCGTTCCCTCTTCCTCGGGGATCTGCCCTGTGGCTGTGACCCACAGTATGGAGGGCAGTCTGCTTTACTCAAAGTCTATTGATTTAAGTGTTAATTACATCTAAAGAAAATACCTTCAAAGTGACAGCTAAACTGGCATTTGACCCAAAACTGGGCACCAGAGGCCAGCCAGGCTGACGCATAAAACTAACCATGGCAAGCACCGTTGCCGCCTGGACCCGTGTGCGGTCCTGCATGGCCACCAAGCTGGGTAACCCCTTCACACCCTGCTCTTCTTCCTTTTGCAGAGAAAGCAGTTGCATCTGACCAACGGGAAGCTAATTTTGTGGGACGAGGGATACCCCTAGCCCTTCCAGAACCATCGCCCGGAGGAGCCCGCTGACTGGCCAGGGACAGGCTTCCCAGCTGGCGACGATGCAGGGGAACAAGAAGGGCACCGACGGCTTCAGCGACACCTCGAGCATCGGCAGCGTGCTGGACGACGCCGACAGGGAGGTGAGCAGCCTCACAGACCGGGCCTTCCGGAGCTTGTGCGTCTCAGAAGACACGTCCTTCAGTGACTCCGACCTGGCCCTGTCCCCAGACGCCACCCGCCAGGTGTTTGGGAACTTCCACCCGGGAACGGTGAGCCACGCCCGCAGGAAGAGTGGCATTTGGAGCCAGTTGCCGTCGCAAGGCACGGAGCATGCCGGCTGGGCAGCCACGTTCCAACAGCTCCCCAAATACGTTCAGGGAGAGGAAGAGTACCCCAAAAGCAGCCCCCCACTGACACCGGCCCAGAGGAGACTGGAGGTGCCCATTTCTGGCCTGAGGAGCAGCAGCAAGCCAATTTCCAAAGTGTCCTCACTGATTAAATCTTTCGACAGGCCTGAGAGCCAGCAATGCGAGGGCAGGCCTCCGACCAACAAGCCTCCAACTATCAAAACCACCCCCAAATTCGCTCCTCTTCCAGAAAGTGGGGTCAACTTCTGCTTTGATTCTGCCTTTCTGACGGTCAGGAGGGTGCCCGCGGAAGTCTCCGGCACGCAGCCCGGCAGGAAGCACGCGGAGCAGGAGGCCCCCAGGAGCCCTGAAGCGGCCTGTCAGGGCTCCAGCAGCCTCCTCCCAACACCCGAAAGCGGGGCCAACTCATCGGAGCCCACGTTCTCCTCCCCACCCCACAGACCGGCCCTGGGGGAGCCGGGGAGGAGCCAGGAGTGGGCTCGCAAAGGCACCTTCCTTCACAGCGAAAACAGTGCTTTTGAGTCATGGAGCAGCCGCCAGCCACGGCTGCTGGAGCGGAGGGAGCCTGCTGAGGCCGCCCCTGAAAACAAGCCCCCCAAACCTTATGAGGAGCCGCCCTTGTTAAGAGAGTCCCAAGCCCCTGAGAGCAAAGCCTCCCCCTGCCAACCCCGGGCCAGCTGTGGGCGAGAAGAGAACAGGCCGACCACGGGCACTCTCTCCACATCTGGACCCTGGAGGTGTAGGGACCCGGGAGCTCAGGTGTTCCCCACGGAGGAAAAGGCTCCCAGCTCGCAGCCGGGCCTCCAGGCGAAGGCCACCCAGCCCCCGTGGCGGAAACCAAAGACTCGAAAAGGCGGCAAAGAAAGCGTGCAGGATGCTTCGGGAGAGAGGCAGGCCGGCCGGCCAGGCCCAGCCTTGTACACAAAGCACCACCCCCAGGAGCAGTTTCCAGAAAGTGATGCTCTTGACAGTGTGGACCCCGGTGACTGCTACAACCCTCCTTTCAACATCAGCAAGCTGCTGACCCCCATCATACCCACCAAGCACGTCCTGGATCCGTCCCACAGCCCACCCGCGGAGGGCACCCCCCCACCCCCAGGGCAGCTAAACGGGTACCAAGAGGAGCCCAGCGAGTCCCGGGACAGCTACAAAGCCAGAGCCCCCAGCCTGCTGTTCAACCTCAAGGACGTGCGCAAGCGTGTTAAGAGCACATACAGCCCCTCACCTCTCGTAAGAGGGCCCGAGGAGAAAAGCAGAAGCAAGCAGGAGCCCCTGAGCAATGGCGTTGTCCTTCCCAATGGGCTGGAGGAGAGCCCCCCACAGGAGCTTCGTAAGGAGAGACCAGCGGACACACCTTCTCTGTCGCACGTCAGTGCCCAGAGCGACCCTACGGCTGATCCTGGTGCAACCTCCGCGGACAACTACCTGACGCCTGGCTCACCTCCAGCCGCCGCCACAGCCCCCTTCTGTGTCAACGGGGAGGCTGCCGACCAGAGCGGCTATGAGGACGCCACCCACGGAGAGTCCGGTGTGGGCGCCGCCAGGCGCAGCTGGTCTCCGGACGCCCGGGAGCGCTGCCCCAGGAAGCACCTGGCCCTGAAGCTCTGCAGCAGCGGGGAGCCCGAGGCGGGGCGGGCGGCGCAGCATCTGCGGGCCCCCAGCCTGGAGAACCGGTTCTCCAGATCCGTGTCTGCAGAGACAGAACCCGAGAGAGAGGCGGGACTTCGGGATCCGAACCTCAACCAGAAAGTCTCCCCGGGGCCCCTTTCTCCCGAGGAGGAAGATGTGTTTTACAGCGACAGCCAGTCTGACTCTGTGCCAGGCCTCAAAGGCAAGGCCAAGTTCAGCACCAGCTCTTCAGATCAGTCGTTTGCCTCGTTCGAGGATCAGCAGAAGACGAGTCCCGCGGAGAGCCCGCGGGAAGACGGGAGGAATGAGGGCAGTGCAGGTGACAGAGAGAAGGAGAATGGGCTGGATGAGCCCCAGCACAGCGCCCCTGGTAACGGGCCCACGTGCGCGGAGCAGCAGAGCGGGAGGGAACCGTGGCGAGCGGCAGGGGAAAGTGTGAGTGGAGAGAGGCCCAGGAAGGCGTCGAGGGAGGAGGCTGACTTCAGAGGCGCTTGGATCGGGGCCAGTAAGGACACAGCCCTTTCACCATCGTCCACGCCCAACAGGCACAGGCTGTTCGCAATCAAAGACAACACCCTGCGGGCCACCCCCGTGATAAGGCCCATCATGCTGCCCCTGCTGAGGGCCTTGTCCTCCGACGACCCGCTGGGCGGCGGCCACAAAGAGGAGGACGTGCCGAGGCCGGGCTGGGGCGAGGATGCCGGCCTTCGGGCCCCCAAGAGCCAGGAAATGCCCAGCACCCCAACACCCACTGGCATGAGGGGGCCCCCCTTCAAGCATGTGGCCCACAAAGGAATGGAGGACCAAGGCTGGGCGTCCGGTGTGGCCAGGAGGGAGGCCCAGGGGAATGTCTCGTCTGTCCCTCTCGCAGGAGAGGGTGAGGGGCTGAAGCCACCCCCGGACGCCGTGTGGAAGGTTGTGGTTAATGAGGGCAGGCGCTATTCCACAGACCAGGGCGGGGCGGAGGCTCCAAGGGGCATCCCCACAATTGCTTTGCCCGAAAGTGACTTACAAGGCCAGCCACCCCCACAGCAACTCAGAACCTCCTGGGAAGAGCAGACCCAAGATTTCAAAAGTCACTTTTTGTCTACACCCCGAGCAGGGCCCCCGGGCAGGAGACTGGCTTCTGGCGAGCCCACGGCTTCCCCCAACAGCAGCTTGCTGGAGGGCAGCAGCACGCACTCCCCTGCCGCCAGCAGCCTGTGGGACGATGCTTCTCAGGGCCCCTGTGAGCTGGGCCTGGTGCCGGGGGAGCCTTCCGGCCCGGGGGAGCCTTCCGGCCCCAGCCCCTGGGCCACCCCCAGCCCTGCCAGGGTGGCCCGGAGGGAGGACCTGACGCACGCCTTCACGTGGGAGGCCAGCACCGACCCCCAGCTGGAGCCGTCGGCAGAAGATCTCAGGACACTCTCTCCAGGAGGCTCGTTGCTGGACGTGGCCTCCGGCTCGGCCGTCCTCCCTGAGAAAGCACAGCCTTCTGCTCACCTAGAAAGGGCGGCGGCCAAGCCACCGGCGGTCCCGCCCAAGACAGAAAAGGCCCTGCGGAGGGCAAAGAAGCTGGCCAGCAAGAGGAGGAAGACTGACCAGATGCAGGACATGCCGGGCGGCGCCCGGGAGGAAAAGCCACCCCTGGAGGACGCGGCGCCCAGGCCCTCGTCCCCCGGAGAGAGGCTGCTGCCCAGGTGCCCCGCCGTCCGCGCCCTGCCCCCTCCCGTGCACCGCCACTCGGTGGCCACCTTCTCAGAGCCTGACAAGAGGCTATCAGGGGGGCCCCAGTCCCTCAGGCCCCTGCTCCCTTACCCTGCCACCCAGAAGGTCCTCCAAGACCCCCAGTCTGGGGAGTACTTCGTCTTCGATCTGCCGCTTCAGGTGAAAATGAAGACCTTCTATGACCCAGAGACAGGCAAATATGTCAAGGTCCCCATCCCATCCTCTGAGGAGGGCTCCCCGGAGCCACTCCCGCCGGATGTGTTTGCTGCCCCGTACGTGCTGTACCCTGGCATCCGGCCCCTGTCCGCCATGGCTTTGATGCCACTGCGCTGCTCCTCTCAGCTGTCTGCCCCCACCTTCCTCGAGGGCCCTGGCGCCTCAGAGGCAGCCCGTCCCGCACCCCCCAGCACCTATAGCGCTGACCTACAGCCAGCCCCCCGGCCTCCTGGTGACCCCGCCCAGCACACTGCAGGTCCGGGCTCCCGGGCGCCCCCAGGGACCCCAGGGGAGGGCGCAGTAGACGCTCCAAGCCTGGGTATCATCTCCATCAACGATCTAGAGGACTTTGCCACAGAGGGCATTTCCTGAGAATTACAGCAGACAACACCCTCTGCCCCCCATAAACTCCAAAGAGTTTATTTCCCTCCCCCAGACACACCCCCCCACACACACACACACACACTCTCACTCACCACATGCCTAGCCACTTGAGGTCCTTAAGGTCTCAGAGAAAATGGGATTCTGAAAACACCCACCTACAGGGCATCTGCTCGCTCCCTGGGAGGCCGCTGCTGGCCTGACCTGGCCCCTCTGAACCCCTTTCTGGACCCCAGACCCGCTCCCCTTCTTTCCTCTTCCTTCCTTCCTCTGGGTCCTTCTCCCCTGGCCTCAGGGCTGTTCTCTCTGCACCAGATCCCCTCCTTCTCAAGGGCAGGCTGAGGCCACCCCCAGGTCAGCCAGCTCAGCTGGGATGGAAATGGCTGAGGGCCCCGAGGCAGCCTTGCAGAAATGTTCATTTGCATAGAATGGGTTTTCGTAACTGAGGACGCTTTCCTCTGAACGCTGTTTTCTGATAAAGAAAAGGCTGCCTTTCACAGCATGGAGCAGGTCTGTGGTGTGGTCTGTCTGGAACTCCTGTCTCTTCTGGGGGCCTGAGGGGTCTCAGCTGGTGAGTAGGAAAGGGCCACCTGCCCTCCAGCCCTCCCATTGCCGCCTGTGGGCCGGCAGGGTCTTCCCTGGGACAGAGCAGCAGCCCAGGGCGCCCTGCCAGCCTGTGTCCAAGCTTCCTGGGCCAGGGCTCCACTAGTGTGGGTGGCAAAGACAAGAACCCAAGACCACCATTGTGGGTGGCCTGGCACCTGAGTCAGGTCCTGACTGTCTGGTGCTGAGCTCTGTGCGCTCAAGGGGATGGTCTCTGGGCCTGGAGGGGAGCAGCTGAATGCACTCAGGGGAGCAGAGCCCCAACCACCTCTCAGCTTGGAGAGCAGGCGGTCTGCGAGGAGATGCCCACAGGGCACCTCTCTGGGAGGGGCCAGGCCAGTCCTTAGGGCCCCTGCTGGGGGCTCCCACTGAAGCCCTTCATTCCTGTGATGTGGGAAAGACGGGACAAAGGCGCCTCCCTCCTAGATGGCAGCTGTGGAGGCACCACACAGTGTGTGTCCTTGGGTTTGCTTGGGGCAGTGGTTAACCGCGGCTCGCGAGCCACATGCGGCTCTTTGGCCCCTTGAGTGTGGCTCTTGCACAAAATACCACGTGCGGGCACGCACGTACAGTGCGATTGAAACTTCGTGGCCCATGCACAGAAGTCGGTTTTCGGCCTGGGCCAGTCTATTTTGAAGAAGTGGCGTTAGAGGAAGTGGGGGGTGTCGTCGGGCAGGCGCAGGCAGGCCGCGGGATACGCAGTGCGGGGGAGGTACATTGTTTTGAGGTACATTCGCTGAGGTCAACCCCTTCCAACTCTCCCATCCACACTCGTCTATCTGAAACAAGCATACAAGACGAGTGTGGATGGGAGAGTTGGAAGGGGTCGACCTCAGCGAACGTACCTCAATCAGATTGAGGACGTTTTTAGCAAAGGCCAGCTTAGGAGGACCCGAATTAAGTTAATAACAATGTACCTACCTATATAGTTTAAGTTTAAAAAATTTGGCTCTCAAAAGAAATTTCAATTGTTGTACTGTTGATATTTGGCTCTGTTGACTAATGAGTTTGCCGACCACTGGCTTGGGGGATGGGGGTTTGGAGGGGGCGGTTTTGCACAGATGCGTTTCCAGGTGGGAAGGTGGGAGGCACCCAACTCAGTGAGCCCCTGACTCCCACACACTCAGGGCTCGAGCATATCCCAGGTCTGTGGGGTGGATTCAGGGCTTTATGCCTGTTTTTTCCCCAGCAAGTGCAGCCACACCTCAATTTCACTGTGAAAATACCACACAGATCCCCCCGCTGATGCCCATGGCTCTGTCTACACCTGTGAGTGGGTTCAATGGGGAGCCGGAGGGCGGGCAGGCAGGTCCGTGAACCCTGGTTCCCACAAGTCACACCTCGGGCTGCAAGCGAACAGGACAAAGTTAGGATTTGAGCTCCGCCACCAAATTGCCAAATGTCCTCTCCACCTGTCTTCATCTTACTCGAGTAGGTAAAGGAATGTCTCATTTTAAAATTCTCAAGGTCCAAGCAGAGCATTGCCTAACAAAAGAAGTATCCCTCAGTTAAAAACTGCCAGGGTCACAATAACCACGTCCCGCACAGAACAACATGCTTTACTTAAGGGGCTCTGTGTGGGGAGCAGGATGAGCACAGCCACTGGCAGAGCTGGAAACACAAAGGCCAACATTTGGAGACCAAGGTCAACTTTCAGGCCTCTTCACCCAGTGGATGCAAAAGAGAAACCAAGCATCTGGTTCATGTCAGAGAGCAGGGACCTCTGGCTGCCCAGCCTCTGTCCACGTCAGGGAGCAGAGACCTCTGGCTGCCCAGCCTCTGTCCATATCAGAGAGCAGGGACCCCTGGCTGCCCAGGCTCTGTCCACGTCAGAGAGCAGAGACCGCTGGCTGCCCAGCCTCTGTCCATATCAGAGAGCAGGGACCCCTGGCTGCCCAGCCTCTGTCTGGGGTGTCTCAGCATCACCCCAGCAGAGCCACCTGTGCAGAGGGTTCCTCCCTTCACGGGACTCTGGGTGGGCCCAGGTCCGGAGCTGACTCAAGGGGTGGTTCTTGCCCTCACCTGCCCGCTCCCGACAGGGTGCCAAGCCTGCCTGGCTTTACAATCACCTGGGCACTTGTTAACAAGATAGTCCGGGCCCCACTTCCAATTCACCTACTCAGATTCTCCGGTGTGGAGGAAGGGCAGCTGCATAGGAAAGCTCCCCGAGACTGGCCACCCGGTTCATAAACACCATCTGGAGCAGCGTGCCTGCACCGGGGCCAACACATGGCCAGGCACTGCCCATCCCCAGAGTCTGCCCGGGGGAGGAGACCTCAGCAGAGGAACACACAGCTGGGTTTGCCTGTGGACAGGGAGAGCACAGAGGAGCCGCCTGCTCCAGTGGGAAGCTGCGAATGAGCAAAGCACAGCCAGGCTTTAGGACTGTCCAGCGAGGCCACCAGCCCTGCCCAGAGCCAGACCCAGGCGTGCCCCAAAGCCCCAAGGAGGCCGGGGACTGACCTTCCTCACAGGGAGGGGGTGTGGTGCGGAACGAAGGCTCCCTCTGTCCCTCTGACAGGCGAGCTGTGCTGAGACTGCGCAGTAGATGCTGGAGGGTGAAGGCACTACACCACCACCATCCCCACGTAGAGCCAGCCTCTTGGTGCTCATCGCTTGTCCAACCGCAGTTTAATGTTTAAGTCTTCTTACTGCTCCAGCACTGTTCTCAGGCCCTAGATCAGTGGTTCTCAACCTTCCTAATGCCGCGACCCTTTAATACAGTTCCTCATGTTGTGGTGACCCCCAACCATAAAATTATCTTCGTTGCTACTTCATAACTGTAATTTTGCTACTGTTAGGAATCATAATGTAAATATCTGATATGCAGGATGTATTTTCATTGTTACAAATTGAACATAATTAAAGCATAGTGATTAATCACAAAAACAATATGTAATTATATATGTGTTTTCCAATGGTCTTAGGCGACCCCTGTGAAAGGGTCGTTCAACCCCCAAAGGGGCTGCGACCCACAGGTTGAGAACCGCTGCCCTAGAAGATCTTGGTCCTGCCACCTTAACCTCATTTTTCCAGGTCCTTCCATGTCGTTGGTCCACCTCTGGGACCCAGCCCTGACTCCATCTCTCATGTCCAGCCGCCCCAAGCTCGCAGGCAGGCACTCCTTGCTGCCTTTGAGCCATCTCATGGCCTCGCAGCCATGTCTCTAGGATGGCATTGTTGGTATCTTCCATGTGAGTCTCTATTTTCCTCTGACTTTAGAAAAATTTAGGCTGATGTACTCTTTCTTCATTTTTACAAACACTACATTGCATGGTCAGTCTTACTCAATATTCCTGTACTTTCCCAGCTCATTTTCCTTACTGACCAAAACTGAGTGTCAGCAAGCCAAGCCAGTTAACCAGATGGCCCACGCCAGTGCTGGCTGGGCGTTGTCCTGTGCACCAAAAGGTTGCTGGTTCGATTCCTCATCGGGGCACGTGCCTGGGTTGCGGGCATGATCCCTGGAAAGGGACATGCAGCAGGGAGTCAATCATTGTTTCCCTGGGACATTGACGTTTCTCTCTCTGTATTTAAAAAAATCAAAAAAAAAAAAAAGAATGAATCAAATTCAAACGGTATATTAGCAAAGACTCCCAGCCGACATCGCCATAAGTGGAGTCCCTGTCTCTGCCCTTCCTTGCAGAGGAAGCTGTCATATACCTGTGTTAAGAGTATATTCAAGGGCCTGCGATCTGACCAGGTGACCCACTGGACGGGTGATTTCACTGGCCTCTGCACCTGCCCGCCCACACTTGTTTACTGTGACCCGCCCACACTTGTTCACTGTGACCCGCCCCGCCCACACTTGTTTACTGTGACCCGCCCACACTTGTTTACTGTGACCCGCCCCGCCCACACTTGTTTACTGTGACCCGCCCCGCCCACACTTGTTTACTGTGACCCGCCCACACTTGTTTACTGTGACCCGCCCCGCCCACACTTGTTTACTGTGACCCGCCCCGCCCACACTTGTTTACTGTGACCCGCCCCGCCCACACTAGTTTACTGTGACCCGCCCACACTTGTTTACTATGACCCGCCCCGCCCACACTTGTTTACTGTGACCCGCCCCGCCCACACTTGTTTACTGTGACCCGCCCACCCACACTTGTTTACTGTGACCCGCCCCGCCCACACTAATTTACTGTGACCCGCCCACACTTGTTTACTGTGACCCGCCCACACTTGTTTACTGTGACCCGCCCCGCCCACACTTGTTTACTGTGACCCGCCCCGCCCACACTTGTTTACTGTGACCCGCCCGCCCACACTTGTTTACTGTGACCCGCCCCCCCCACACTTGTTTACTGTGACCCGCCCCGCCCACACTTGTTTACTGTGACCCGCCCCGCCCACACTTGTTTACTGTGACCCGCCCCGCCCACACTTGTTTACCATGACCCGCCCCGCCCACACTTGTTTACTGTGACCCGCCCACACTTGTTTACTGTGACCCGCCCACACTTGTTTACTGTGACCCGCCCCGCCCACACTTGTTTACTGTGACCCGCCCCGCCCACACTTGTTTACTGTGACCCGCCCCGCCCACACTTGTTTACTGTGACCCGCCCCGCCCACACTTGTTTACTGTGACCCGCCCCGCCCACACTTGTTTACTGTGACCCGCCCCGCCCACACTTGTTTACTGTGACCCGCCCCGCCCACACTTGTTTACCATGACCCGCCCCGCCCACACTTGTTTACTGTGACCCGCCCCGCCCACACTTGTTTACTGTGACCCGCCCCGCCCACACTTGTTTACTGTGACCCGCCCCGCCCACACTTGTTTACTGTGACCCGCCCACACTTGTTTACTGTGACCCGCCCCGCCCACACTAGTTTACTGTGACCCGCCCACCCTTGTTTACTGTGACCCGCCCACACTTGTTTACTGTGACCTGCCCGCCCACACTTGTTTACTGTGACCCGCCCACACTTGTTTACCATGACCCGCCCCGCCCACACATGTTTACTGTGACCCGCCCCGCCCACACTTGTTTACTGTGACCTGCCCGCCCACACTTGTTTACTGTGACCCGCCCCGCCCACACTAGTTTACTGTGACCCGCCCACACTTGTTTACTGTGACCCGCCCACACTTGTTTACTGTGACCCGCCCACACTTGTTTACTGTGACCCGCCCCGCCCACACTAGTTTACTGTGACCCGCCCACACTTGTTTTCTGTGACCCGCCCACACTTGTTCACTGTGACCCGCCCCGCCCACACTTGTTTACTGTGACCCGCCCCGCCCACACTTGTTTACTGTGACCCGCCCCGCCCACACTTGTTTACTGTGACCCGCCCCGCCCACACTTGTTTACTGTGACCCGCCCCGCCCACACTTGTTTACTGTGACCCGCCCCGCCCACACTTGTTTACTGTGACCCGCCCCGCCCACACTTGTTTACTCTGACCCGCCCCGCCCACACTTGTTCACTGTGACCCGCCCCGCCCACACTTGTTTACTGTGACCCGCCCCGCCCACACTTGTTTACTGTGACCCGCCCGCACTAATTTACTGTGACCCGCCCACACTTGTTTACTGTGACCCGCCCCGCCCACACTTGTTTACTGTGACCCGCCCCGCCCACTCTTGT